CATTGGCAGACACTCAGCAATATAGTGCAGAACGCAGTTGGTATGAAAATTAGCTCCAGGATTCACATTGTAATAGTTATTCAGCACAAAAGTCCTTGCTTATACTATAAATGTATAATTATCATATTTCTTTTCATCTATCACAATAACATTTTGAGTGCAAGTACAGAGCAGCAAATAGCTTCTTTTTGTGTTGGGACTAAAATCAAGTTGCTGATCATTTAAAAAGCAGAATAATGTTGCAGCAAATGCATTTATCCAGGAAATTTCATTAAGAACACAAAATAAAACTGATCCTGGTAATGGATTAATTAATCTATTGTTAATTAAATGCCATTTTTATGAAGGTCTCTTGAGTCTAATGCAGGAAATGTTCTCATCAAGCCTTGTGGCGGGGTCCAAGGGAACAGAGGATCCATGTAAATACGTGAGCAAATGCACAGGATGTGTTGGTGTCGTGTAGCAGAATTTAATTTTTTAACAAAAATACAGTTTTCAACAAGAATCATTACTCTTGCAGCATGCTAATGTGTTTTATAGCTGAGTGTTTTTTTAGGAAGTTATAAACTTCCTAACCAAGTCCTATCCAAGCGTTTTAGATTGCATTCCACCAGGAGGTTGCTGTTAGTGCAGCTCCCATAAACACTGACTCAGTGTCCCATTTGTTAGTGTAGGTGTTTCCCATTCCTTTGCCTGAAAGTCATGTTGGTTTTCCAGTTCTGTCCTCATTGCTTTCATTTTCCATGTGAAGGTGTCTGAAGCATTTTGGCTTCTCTATTGAACTTACCAGCAGCAGCTGCTAACTTTTCCACATTCCATGAGCACATGCTGCTCATTTGTCATGTTCTAAGTCTGCAGAGTTTTGTTGGTGAGGTGTAACCTATATGCACAAAGGAAGCATTAAATAATTCTAAGGAATGGAGCAGCCTCAGTGAATGTTAGGGGGTTTTTGACCTTTAAAAAAAAAATTAAGAAGTAAAAGTAAAATTTGCAAACTGTAATGATAGAGCATATAATGTAAAAACTTAAGAATCTAGTAGATCAGTGAAAAACCTGTAGGTAGAAGTGTTGATAAGTAAATTGATACTTCCAAGCTTCATTGAAAATTATTCAGTGCTTTTCTGGACCTTTGCATCTCAATCAAGTTAAACGTGTAACTGTTGCTGATAAAACTGAACTTGGAATTCAGAACCAGTGCTGGAACAGGAGGCAGTGCACTGAATACTTGCAGACTAAATTGCATTTACATTTTCTTCATACAGTCTTCATTTATGAGAAAAGCTTTCTTCCCTCTGAGCATCTTAAGATCCTGCATGCATTTTACGGAGAATTTATTGGTAACAGACCTCATCTTCACCTTGCAGAAGGGCAAGGATCCAGTTTTGCTTCACTCTCCTTGTGCCAAGTCAACCCTGAAGGTAACTAAGGAGATCGGTGCTCCTTGTGACACAGGTCATCATTCCAAATACAAACTTTGCTCTTGGCAGCATGGCAAACAACTCACTGCCAATTCCCTTTATTCCCAGAGTGTTTGCTCTGGCAGAGTCAGAAGCCAAACTGCTCTGACCCCTGCTTGCATCCATGTTAAATGTACTTTGAGTTCTAATGGTGTGTACTGAAGTGAACTTTGACAGCAAATGTTTACAATTACAAAATAGTAGTAAAATAGTATAAAGTGAGTGCTCGCTGTAAAAAGTTGTAAAAAAAGTGATCTTTCCTATTCTTTATAGGGGTTTAATTTGACAACAGAAGTATAGAAATTTTTTTAAACTGTCAAACTTCTTTCAGAACATGAAAAGAGCTTTTTAAGTCTTGGTGAATAATTTACATATTTCATGTTCATTAGTCTAACTGATTCTTGAGTTACTAATTGATTCTTTCCCCCTCCTCCTGTTTATGTGGAATGTTGTCCAAGTAATCTAAATAACCAAATCTGACTTAATGTTGAAAAAGCTATTTTGATGTCCAGTGTCACTTCTCTACAAATGAGTGTTGAATTTGGTAAGAACTAGAAGCAATCCATGTTGCTGTTGCTGATCTGCAGGGTGTAGAGCTTCCAATTGTAAAGCTTTAGGCTCTCAGTTTGAATGTCCCAAAAATTTAAGGTGATCTACCTTTGATAGCTCTGGTAAAAAAATCAATATCAGGTGCTTTTTACTTTTCTTGTCTTCATTTGAAATAATTTACTTTTAAAAGAGGCGAGGAAAGCATGCACAAGTTTTTAAAGGCTCTTGCTTTCACTGAATCACTATTGGTTCCTCTGGCCACATTTGGGGGAAGAGACTGGCTGAGACTGCTCACTTTAGAGTATCACTGTAAAGCTCTGTAGCTCTTCAGACTTCAGCTGAGAAGAATAAATGACAGCACATAGGAAGTGGAATCAGCAATACCAAAGGAATGTTTAGGAAATTGGTAAATTGGAAGGAAATAAACTTCAGTAACAACAGAACATAGGGTAGAATGGGAATAGTTGAAAGAGACAATTCTGACAGAATAATTCAGGCAAAACCAGGGTAACTCAGTCTGCCAGCATCTGCTCAAATAAAATGAAGTGACAGACTGTATGCAAGTTTTAAAAATAAAGGGAAGATGATTGATTTGTTCTGTAAAGCCCAACTTTACAGGTCTGTAGATAAATGCATGAATAGAAAAGATGGTTAACACCATCTCATTGGCATATCAGTATTTTTTGTAGATTTTCATGTCCTTACCCTGAGAATGAAAAGTTGGGGTAAATAGAGAGAGAGAGTTTTGCAGATAAGCAGATAAACCCTTGCCAGACTCTGCACCAGTCGCCAACACCAAGGGCTTATTTTTGTTGAATGTGATTCTGGTTGGAGCAGGGAACAGAATAAGATTCACATGGATAAACAAAGTTTTCTATTGAATCAAAAACCTGAATCATCACAGAATGCCCTTCAGTGGACTAGATCTGGACAACTGCAGACAGGGAAAAAGGTCAATCCTCTAACTTGAAAACCTGACAGGAAATTGACAGTTCTCTCAACTTTGGCATGGATATTGCTTTGACCTGTCAGACACATGGATAATTGCTCAGTTTAGGTACAGTTTAGCTTGAATAGGGGTAGAAATAGCTATACACAGGTCTGTTCTTCTACAAAACAGTGCATGAAATAATTTATAAACATTGGCTTAAACTATAAAGGGGGACAAGTTTGCTTCCATGAAACATTGCATTTGAGGAGCTTTAAAATCTGAACTCTTTAATTACAGAAGTAATAAAATGCAGTAACAACACACAGTGTGAACATACTAATAAGTTAATAATCCTGTTCATCTGCCATTATTGTCTAGTAGCAAGATAAAACTTTTGGGAGGAGAAAAATAAAAAAACACTTGTAGCATAAACCCATTTATTTGAGTGACTATACAGAATGGCTTAATTTCCTTAATAGTCACTTGTGGGAACTCAAAATGTCCCTCAGACATTTTTGGATGTTCCGGGTCCAGGTCAGAAGCATTTGAGACCCTGGCAGGCAGCTGGAAACAGCTGTGATTTTGGATTTGAGCTATGGAATGATTTACCAACCTTGCAGGGAGAACAAGAAGTCACAAAAGTTCAGATATAGTAGAAGTAGTCACAAAGTAGAGGGAAGAATTTTTTAGTGCTGTACAGGGGGGTTTTAACACCTGTACAGGGGGTTTTAGTTTCGTACATGGGGGTCAGAAATTTTAAGATGGAGGGATTTGGGCCTGTCCTGTCCTCCCTCTCTCTTCTTCCCTTACCTCCATGTTCTTGGTGATGTTGGCACTCACAGATTGGTTCAGAGTAGAAAGGCACCATTTTATATAGGTAGTAGGTATTGGTCAAATCCAATGGGAATAACTCAGGGGAGGGGTGAATGCTCAGGGGAATACAGAAAAGAAAACTTTCTAACTTCAGATTCACAAAGCCTTTTGCGCATCTGCACGTCACCACAGTACTTAACAAAAGGGAATCCTTGCTATATGGTTTTTATATTTAAAGACTTTGCTTAGCTTATACCTTCTGACTGCAGCTATTTTGGGTGTCTTTGTTCCAGTTTTTGCCTCTGACACATTTCTTTGTCATAGTTAAGAGTCCCTGACTCATCGGTAAGCATGTGTGGGGTTTGGAGTTCTCTGTTTTTCTGTGATTTAAAATAGTCTGCCTCTGAGGAATGACCTTTTTTGGTGGCAATATATGAAGTGTTGGCCATGAATGCTTTCTCCTTTTCCCTGCATCCTGAAGAGTACATGGAGTGAATTGCATGGCATCTTGAGATGAAGAAGTTGCCTCTTTTTCTGCGACATTATTCTTGGCTGCACTTGTGCAATGTTTGGCAGCCATAGCTGCTTATTTTAAGATGTTCATTAAAGAAAAAAAATTACTAGGATGAGAGACAGCTGCAGGTACTGGCAGTATACAAAATTCATAATTACTAAGAGTAACTGAAGCATATTACAGTATAATTCAACCAAAAAAACAGCTGGCACATGCTATATTTGTCATGAGAGCTTTGCAGAAAGTACTTGCTGCAGCTGGTGGATTTATCACCCGTCTGCTGAAATGCTGGAAGCTCACCTTTTGTTTCCTACTCACTTAGCAAAGACAATGTGCAGTGGGGGCTGATGTAGTTATCCAGCAGTTGCAGTTATTGCTCAGTTCTAATACTGAGATCTCATAAGTTGTATTTGGGGGAGGGCTAACACTCAGATTGAATCAATTGTCTAGCCCAATTGCCATCACATTTCCTTATGCTTACAAGGTTAAACTGTTTCCTTTTAAATATGTGTTCAGTGTGATCTCATTATAAAAATAATTTCTTGATCACAGCTGTGTATGAGCCTGTAAACTCTGTTTATGGTCTGTGCTGCTAAGCATGCTAATTCCATACCTCAGCACAAGCACAGGAGACAGGCTCCTTTCAGTAACTGAGAATTTTTAGGGCACCTAAAAATTGGTCACCTGTATTGAAAATGCCTCATTTGATGCTTAGTACTAGAATACAGAGGGCAAATTACAAAAATAGTATTACATACTAACATACTGTCTAGATCCTGCAATCTTAATTCTTACTTTATATACAGAGTGTTCACATGTGATAACAGGTATAACCTAGATGTGATTTTAACTGTTTAACAACATTGAAATACCTGCCTGTGTACTTTCATTTCTATGAAAGTTCAAAGTTGTTGAACTATTTTTGTGATATCTACCTGGGACTGGTGAAAGAAGTTAAGAGGGTGGGTTGAGAACAGGTGAGTGCAAACTCATCACCAGATGTAGTGGTGACCTGATGTTACACATGCATTGCAACCTTGTATTTCAAATGACATGTATCAGTTTTCAAACTTTTATGAAGTACTAAGTTTAAAAGTGTATAAAAGCAAATTATTGTTGAGAACTAAGTGTCATCATTAAAATAGCAGAATTTCAGGTGAAGACCTGAAGTTAAAGTATCTGCTACCCTACCTCCATTCCTTCAAAAATAAAGGCTTTAGCTTCCCTTGCAGTGCATTAGTCTCAGCAACAGGTGAAGCATTTAAGGTGAGGTGGTAGAGATTGGTCAGAGGTTAGAGCAGCTCACTTAGGTTTGCATCTTTCCCTGGCCAAAATTACTGGAGTTGTGTCTTTAGTCATCCTTCTTGTGCTGATAGAAGGCAATAACTGTTTCCTTTAGGCACTAGCTCAGAGATTGTCTGTCATAACCCAGATGTTTTTTGTCTTCAATACTGTGTAAACTGAAGATCACTAAAACTCATTCAGTATAAAAGTGAAAAGACTGCTTTGAAGTAGGTGGTATTTTCATTTTCCTCACAAAGTGTCACATTGTTGTCTGTCTCACAAGTATAGAATGATTTATTTTTAGGTACTTCAAAGCACCTTTAAAAACGCCTACACTGAGGTCTGGTTATGGAACACTAATTAGAATGTTAATCTCAATATTGAACTTACTGTGCAAAACACAGCTTATATTTATTGCATACTAGATAGCATGCCTCCAAAATAAGATTCAATAAACAGGAAAAAAAACCCTGTAAAATGTCAAGTGCCCTTGACAAAGTCTTGCTGATTCCAACAAACACATCTTGTTCCTCTGCCATTACAGTTTTGAATGCACAACATGAAGAAGTGCTGTGTGGTGCTTTTGAAATGGGTGTTTTAAGAGTAACCCTGTAATTAAAACCCACCATAAGCCTCCACAATTCATGGAACTATCTATGAAATTACATTCCAATAACTAAAGTACTACTGTTTGCCAATCAGCATCTTTTCTTCTGATTCCCAGAAGTGAGCTGCGTCAACAAAAACTCCGTAGCCAGGAGCTCATTTCCCAGCTGGAAATAGCAAATGAGAAGGTAACTGAGGTAAGATAATGACTGATGTGACAGCTACTTTCAGTTACAACCTGATGTGCATATACTTAAAGTCTTAGCGGAAACCTATTTAGGTGAGTTATGTGGCTGGTTTAGAGAAAATTAAGGGTTTTTGACAGAGGTAGTCAGTAACAATTGGGAAGCCTCACTGTTTTTTGCTGACTGACATGTTCCAATGGCAGGAAGACAAATGAACTTTAGTCTCAAATTACAAAAGTGAAAGGGGAAATCATCTTTCTGTCTTTCTAAGTGACTAATCTAGCAATTCTGGACAAATTTCAGGACCTTACTTCTGCCTCTGAATCCCTGCAAGCCCCAAAATAGGAGCAGGCACATTGGGATTATGGATAACGTGGCACATACAGACACCAAGTTCTCCACGTGCTGTGTGTATGCAGAATTTACATTCTGTGTCCATACATGAATATATATCTAAAAACAATATCCATTAAAGATTAAGGGCAGGGTTGTTTTGGAATGTGCATTGTTCAATAATTAATGGCCACTTTAGGAAAAGGCTTTCCTGTCAGCCTTATAAATCTGTGATTACATCCGGTTCTATCCAGGATAAGTTCTTCTGGCTTGTTTTTTTTTGTAGTGCTGTGTTATTTAGAGGACAAAAATTATAAGAGAAGTGAGTAAAGGCTGGTTAAGAAAGGCTTTTTACAGACCCTTTGAAGGGAACAGAGAAGATCTGTAGCAGATTTATCATCCCATTTGTATTATCTGCTGTATTCCTCTTTCTTCTGAGCTAAATAGCTAAAACAGTTACGTTGTAAGGTTGCATGGATTAAATAACCTGAATTAAAATGTCAGCCTTAATCCATCTTGCTTCAAGGTGGTGAAATGAGTAAAACCCCTGCAGACTGATTGATTGGAAAAGTCAGATGATGTCACATTTGAGCTGGAAATTCTCTATGATGTGTCAGCAGTTTGTCCTCAGGCTTTTATTGTAAGGGAAGAACAGTTCCACTTCTGACGTTCCTCGTGTTAAGCTTTTTTTTCACTACAGAATGAGTGGATTCAGTGAAAAATAACTTGGCACTGTGATGAGATATTCTGTTTCCACAGGATGAGACGCTGATGATGGAGTATCGGGAATACATCGACAGGCTTCAGAGGCGGCTGAGCCAGGCGGAACAAAGAGCAGCCACAGCATCCCAACAGGTACCCAGCTCAAAAAAAAGTGTTATCCAAGCACATGGAGTATGCAGAAGTACTCATTTTACATCATTCCTGAGGCAGAGGTGATCCCTGATGAGCATTATTGCCAGCAGGATTTTAACAAGCTTGGAGTTTGGACATGTCCCCGTCTGACAGGATGTTTATTTGACAGCTTAGGTTTGTGTGTGGAAACCAGTTTGCTGTGAATTAAACCTGCATGGTTCAGAATGTGTGAATGAAGGTATACAGGCCTTTCCAGCTTTAGAAACGGCAAGTTAGCAAAGACAAAAAAAAACCTTAAATAACTGTAGCTCTTGTTTGCTGGTCTGAAGAGCGCCCACTGCAATTACATTGGCTGTGTATTACAGCTGCAGCAGCTCCTTCAGTGGTGAAAACTGTGCAGAGTAGGAAATGCTTGCTTCTTTCCAGGCCATTGGAGAGGTAAAGGAGAGAGAGTGTATCCCTCTCGGTATTCAGTTTGTCCATAGTGTTTAAGCTGTACAGCTTGAAGCAAATCCCATGGGGGTTTATACACTAATTTTTTTTTTTTTTTTTTGCCAAAGAAGTTCATTACTCAAGTTGGCCTTCTATTAAGTAAAGATGGTCTTTCTGCCTCCTGCTTTTTTTAGAGTGATTTAGGAAAACTATTTGCAAACTACAGCTTGTTAATGCAGGTGACCCCATGTGAGCTGCAAGGAGGAGATGTTTGGCTGACCTAAATTGCTCAGTTAGGACAAATGGCATTTTCTTTCCCAACAGCAGTGAATAAATGGGCATAGCTGCCAAGCTGTCATAACATAAGCTGTGGTTCCTGGCTTTAAATGCTCTCTGTCATGATAAGGTCTATTCAGCTGCTGAAGATTTGCTCTGAAAGAAGAATTAATTTTTTTTTAACCTCTTGTTTATTATGTGGATCTGTTTAGCTCTAATGCTTCTAAGATGCTGTCTTCCCATAAAAACCCAAACATCCTTCTGTCACATTTCAACGAATAAACTCGTGGCCTTGGTGCCCATAGAGGAAGAGGTCTTGCTGTTCCTGAAAACATTGGTAATTAGCTGTTCCTCGCTATGCTTTCTCTGGAAGATAACAAAGAGATTTGATGTTGTGCAGCCCAAGTGCTGTTGCCAGACTTCAGAACTGCCTTGCCCTCGTGGCAGAGGTTACTGCAGAAGCCTGGCTGCTCTGTAGTTACTTCAGAACCGCTGTACCAAGCCCCTTCCTTTTTCTCTCCACCCCAAAAAAACAAATACCAGCACTGTCCCTGCTATAGGGCTCCAGTAGTGCTGCAAGAATGTCCTCTCTTCTGAATCTGGGTCTTTATTCTCTCCTAGGCCCCAGAAGGCTGAATGTTCCCATGTGAATTCCATCAGACTCAGTGATAAATCTCTCTTCCTAACCTATAGGCTGAGGGCTGCTTTCTGGCTTGTGTGTTCTCACTGCGTTACCCACCTTCACTGTAAAATTGTATCAAACATAGACTAGAGCTGGACTAGTAGGGAGCCTGGAAATTACACTTTTATTGTGGTCAGTTCAATGACTAAATCTTAGCTTATTCTGAAATAATAGTGATTTCACTAAGAAACATAAAAAATACAAGATAATGTTTGCACAAGTTTAAAACATCTATCCTGTAGGTGTCTTTTAGTGTATTACTGCTACCTATCATCTTGTATTCTCTGGGATCTGAATTAAGACAAAAGCAGTAGTCATCTACAGAGTACATTGTAAACCCTGCTTTTCATCCCAAAGTCACACTGCCTGTGCTTGTACCCTCTCCTTCATGACACATTTACTATGGAAGTTCTACTGTTACTTTGATCTTACAAAGAATTATTACAAAGCTATCATCTGCATCTGTTTCATTACAGCTCAGCCTGATAACTACACAGAATAAAAAAGCTACTTCCCTGAAGGATCTGGAAAACATTTAAACACCTGTTTTTATCATTCATCATGTTGGGAGTTAAGAGTATTGCTGGAGAAACTTCATAGTGGAGCACTACAGTCAAAAGCACAGCAAGGCTTGTAAAACTTCAATTCTGGTGAGAAAGGGAGTGGATGAAGATCCTGTCTCTGTATGCACAATAAAGATTGGAAGAAGACTGCAAAATGTTGTCATTCAAGTCCTTTAATGTAGCAAATGAAAAAATCTGACACAGTGCTGTGGCACGTTCATGGTTTTCTGGTCTAAAATCCAGTAACTCCACCTGTGATGAGATTGTGTACAGGGAGTAGGTAACGCTTCTATTGAAATTCACCTTGGCTTTGCTCGTGTGCAGTCAGTATCTTTAATTTTTCCTTATAGTGCAGAACTTATAGTTCCTTAACTTGGGAACAATTTGAAGATCCTTTGTGAATTATAATTAGACTCATTACAACATGAGTGCCAAAGAGTTGCTCTTGTGATGGTCAGTGCTTGAGCTGCCTCTGTTGCCTTCCAGTGTGAAGAATTCAGTTTGGTTTGGTTTGATGCCCCTAAGGTGCAGGTAATAATGAAAATACTCAGCTCATACCTAAGCTCTGTCATTTTCCTGCAGTTGTGCTTTTTCTTCTTAATATACTTAATATTCTTCTCAGTATTTCTTCTTAATAAAATAATTTCTTAATTATTTTACAATTCCTTGCTTTTCTGTTGGTCTGCTCCCTTGGTCTGGACGTATCTGGAAACTTCCATTCTCTTACTTCAATTGGCAAAAAAGTGAAGTCATCCAGCCTTTATACCTTTTGAAATAGTAGGTTTCAGTTGTATAGATGCCGAGATTTGGGAATCCTCATGTACATGGGTTTTTGAAGTTGAGACATGTCATAGCTATTATTGTACAATTACAGCCAAACTCCCATTTTTTTCTTTTAGCGTGTATTACAGGCATTCAGTAGGTATTTAACTGATTTTTGAAGTGCTCACATCTTGGCCTTAACTGACACAATTGCTTGTCCTTCCACTTAAATGTAAAGAGTGCAAGTCTGGTTTCTAACCTCTCATTCAGGTGCTGGGTAGTGCATGCCAGTGCTTGATGGAAATGTCTCATTTGGATTAATAAACCTGTGTGTCCATGGCAGTGGATCTTCACCATATTTGTATTTTAGAGGACCGAACTGGGCTGATTCCCCCTGTGGAAGCAACTTTGTGCTGCCTCCTAAAATGTAGGCTGTTTAGGTAGAGCCTGCAAGATGGATGCACCCTTAGAAACAATTCCTGCTTCCTGCAGTGAAAGCCACTAGTTTCTACAGTGGTTGCTTTCTCTTTTTGATAGATGCCTCTATCCACTGCAATCTCTAAATCTCAGTTTTGGTTAAAAGATGTTGAAGATTCTCCAAAACAACATGGATACATTTTTCAGACGCTCCAAGCAGCTGTTTGGATGAGATTTTCATCAATCAGCAGAGTGATACAGAGGCAGGCAAGTTCCTTGTTTCCATTTGCATAATGCACGGCTGAGATGATGACAGGACACCTGGAAGATTTTGTGTGAGCCATTAATCCCCTTCACTCTTCAAAGGCAAACTCTGGCTGTGAAGTGAAACCTGGCTGGAAGGGGCAGTCGCTTCTCAGGCACTGGGTATTTGTTCCTGGAAACACACGGCACCTGTGTGCTTCCCTGTTAATTATGAGTATATTCATTTCACCTTGGGATGCAGCTCCTATGTGCTGCTGTTTGCCAGAACAGGAGATGCACAAGGGATTGACACAAGCACCTCATGGTGAAGGGAAGGGGCAGGAGAGCAACTCCAGCAGATGACACAGGAAAGGAAAAGGTTTCTATCCTGATCTACCTTGTAGCACCATGAACAGGAATGTGGTGACATGGAGCTCATCATACACCCACCAACTCTTTTCATTTCCCTGAGGTGGCTAAAGGAGGCTACTCCCATGTTGCTCCCAAATTGGGATGTCTTATTTTTTTTTCAAGATGGATTGCTCTGGCTGTCCTTTCACAGCCTTGCTTTGCTTTTCTTGCTCGGCACCAAGTCCATTCTGTATTTCTGCAGCTGGAGTTTAGAGGAATCTTCATCTCCTGGAAATCCTGCTATGCAAGAAAACGTTCTCTCAGTAATGTATGAGCTCAGGCAGTTTAGAGTGTGAATGAACTTTCAGCCTGATTATCCCAAAGATCCAAGGTTTCAAACCTCATGTTCCTTTTCCAGTGGAACACGCACAGAGATCTTTTGCAAGGACATCCTGTCTACAATTGTAAATGCTTTGAGGTAAGCAACATCTCTGTGAGGATGCCAAGGGCAAAACCACACAGTTGTGCTGCTGATGGTATGGGCACAGCTGTCAGTAACAAGCAGTCCTGAAAAAAAATCTTAAAAATCTATAAAATCTTGCAACTTCAGTGTGCATGGTGATACCTATACTACCTATACTAATCCATGAAAGCTGTTCACACCATTGCAGTGAAGTGTTTTTGTAAGAAACCAAATACAAATACGGGGAGGTCTAAACCACTGCTGGCAAGCATACTGCAAAAATGTACAGCATTTATTCACATACAGACAAAAGGCACAATTCTACGGAATATTTTAACAAAAAATACAGCTGTTTCAACTAGGTCTTTAGAAATACTTCAAAAAAGGGAGAAAATAAATACAGGATTGGGCCATGTAATATAAAATAGTCATCTCTACATATACTTTTTTATTTCTGTTTCTCTTCATGCACCTTTTAATTAATTTCAGCTGAATGGACACCAAAGCTAGGCACATAGTGAAAAATCTGTACAAGTTTTACAAATGTCATCACAATTGTCTCAAACTTCTGAAATCAAGATTTGTACACAACATGAACCCTTCATTTAGATCTGTGTGAGTTTATAACCTAACAAATGGCATTCCAGGCAACTCTACAGACGTTCAGCTAGCCTACGGTTGACAGAACACACGGATCATATCAAAGATCTCTTGGTCGGTCAGCACAAGGAAAGGTCACGCTTGGAAACAGAAATCCACCAAATCCCAGTAAAACACGGGGTGGGTTTGCCACTGCAGTACCTGTAACACCTCCTGCTGAGGGCTAAGCGCAGGGACAAAACTAACTTACAGAGCTGGTCGTACCACAGCCTTTTTGGTTTGGGGTCAGCTCCACTGGAAACCTCACAAAGCTTTCTGCCCTCAGTGCCAGGGGACACAGCAGCTAAGGCATTCACTCTGCACAACAGAAGTGTTCCTGATATAGTGCAAATTAACAAGGTACCTCTGTCCAAGGGCTGTGAGGTTAAAGGTTTACTCAGAATCCAAATTTAGGGTATTCCACCCATGGCTTGACAATTCCTGTGTGGTCATGAGCTTCTTTCTTACAGAAAATACCAGTGCCTGTCTGGAGAATGTTGCTGGATGTTGAGTAGAACTTACTGGCCTTTTCTCTGTCTGCTGATTGTACTTTGAAGACATCCCAAGAGTGACTGTGTAACCTCAGTCACCAGTGCCCTACCTGACTACCACCTCTGTAAGTTATGTATTATTCTTGGGACTTCTTGAGACCAGCAACAGGATTTTGAAAGTGTATTACCTTACATAACATTCCCCTTCCTCAAAAGGTTAAGACTTCTGAGTTTTAAAACAGGGATGCATTCTGGTAAAATATTTAATTGATAACGTTACCTTGCATAGCAAGATAGGGTGTTAAGCCTTTCTTATTTTCTGATTGAATCCTCAGTCCTGTGGCAGAGGAATTGTGTGTTGTCAGTGTTCCCTCCTCGGGAGGCAAAGGTCAGGCATTCCAAGGTGAGTGGATGCCATAACAGCAGGCTGGGAGTGGGAAAGGGGAGGAGAAGGAGGTTCTTTATGCCTGTCTCTCCGTTAACACATTGCTGCTACAACTTTTTCACCAGTACATACCTCTCCTACATCTATGAAAAATTCCAAAATGTACAGGCTCCTAATGCTCCACTGCGATGTGTTCACTCTTCTCAGTACAAAACAGTATCCTCACGACCTGTTTATATTATTGCTCACAGCTTACTCATTATTGCCACTTGCAATTATTAAAAAAGTACACAGTCAGAATACAAGTTCCCTTTTCCATCAAATCTAATCCATAATAGAACGAAATAGTTTTTTCTTTGCTTGACTGTAAAGAGCTAATCACAAATGTATTGCCTTTGTGGTTTACCCTATTTAAAAATATATATTTGTGTCCATTTAAAGCAACCTTTTAGTGTCATAAGCCTGACTCTCCCAGTACATATCATTAGTGCATCTGTGGTGGCCTTTGGGAAATCCTCCTGCCTAGTGCCATAGAAAACTTCTGTCTGGAATTGTCATCACACTCCCAAAAGCAGGTGCCTGACTATGGGTGACAGGTTATTCCATGGAGTGCTGGAACCCCCAAACCCACTCCTTGCTCAGAACTGAGCCATTTGGGAACATCCTTTGTGTCAGTCCCAATCTTTCAAGCCCTGCCCTGTCCCTTCCTCCTCCTCCAGTGCAACGTTGTGGCTGTGCCTGGTCATCATTTAGTAAACTCTGGAGCATAGTTTGAGCTGCCACCTGTGCTCAAACTGAACACAACAGAACACATTCTGCAAAGAGAGAAGAAAGAGTTGCCCCTGCCCAGGGACAGGGAACATTTCTAATGGGACTTACCAGTGCAGTGCAGTATGGTCTAACAACCATCTTCCATTCAATACACACGAGTTAAATTAAGAGCTTGTGCTTTTCCAGAAGTCAGGGGAAGGGAGTCAAAGTTTCAGTGCCTTTTAGCTAGAAGGGATGAATACAGCCTGATTCCGCCTACCCCACATCCAGCCCCTTTTAGAAGATTTTTGTGAGCTGTGTGCATCCCAACTCCTGTTTTAGTAGTGATGTCACTTTTCTGCCTACTCAAGAAAGTTGCAAATAAGGGAGATTCCAACTTCTCACAGAAATGGGGAGGGTGGGGGGTGTGGATGGGGCAGAGAAAAAAAAAAAAAACAACAAAATAAAACAAAACCAAAGAGCTTAAAACAGCTTTAAGTGCATGTAAACATACTTATACAACTCAGAAAAAAATGGCCTTTCATTTTGTCAGTCTGTAGCTCCAAGAATGCTCCTCTCTCACACTGATGAGTAAGGTGGAGTTGGCTTGTAGGCAGTGACTCTAGTGCCCCCATCTAGTGCTGTGTCCAGTCAGGTCGCCAGGATGCTCCTCCGAATAATGTCTGTCCTCCTGCCGATGCTGCTGCTGGGGCTGAGCCTCTGCTGCCTGCACTTCTTCTCAGCCACCTCCGTCTCCGAGTCGCTCATTTCGGCGTCGGGGACGTAGCCATCGTTCTCACTGTCAGGCTTTAACTTGCTTTTCGTCCTCTCCTTGGCTGGAACTCTGCCCACGCCCAGGTAGGGGTAGCCGGAGTTCTGGCGGCAGGTCTCCTCCAGGCTCTCCCCCTGCTGCTGCCTCTCCCCCTTCTTTGGAATTCGGAATCCGCCCCAGTTTTTCCCCGGGCTCGTGGGTGTGGTAGGCACTTTAACTACTGTCTGATGAGAGTTTACTTTGCCCAGACCCCCGTTACATTTAGGCACTATATCCCTCCGAGTGCCAGGCGCTGACCTACCACCGGAGTGGTTCACAGCCCTTTTGTTTTCCAGTTGCCTCTGAGAGAGTTCCGTGGGTCTCAGCGGTTTGTGGTTGTGTTTAGAAGTCTTTTCCCTCAGCTCTGCTTTCGCCACCTCGCACTGCGGGCGATTGTCTCTTCTCTTCCTGTGCTCTGGTAGAACGGCGCTGTTTTTCTGCTGCGCCGACACAACCCGCGTCTCAGCAAAGGGCTTGTCAAAATTTAAAAAGCTGCCTGGAGCTGCGCCTCCTTCCCTCGGGCTGGGCTGCCCCAGCAGGGATTTGCTGTCGTTCCCAGACCTGTCTCTTACCCTGTCTCTCTTGTGGGGTTTTTTCAAGGAGTGGGCCAGAGATGTGCCCATCTGCTTCCTGAAGAACGCAGAATGCCACTTCAGGTCCTCGATCTTGGGGGCGTCGGGGCCCAGCGACGGGCTGTTGAACAGCACCGTGTTTTCCATGGAGGAGAATGAGGAAGGCACACCTGCACGGAAGCAAACTAAGTTCAAGCCAAGCAATCCCACAGCTGTGTAGATAAATACCAGTTTTTCAATGTACCTGTTTTAACTCTGCTCTTCATGCCTGACGTGTTCACATCAGAAATGGGTATTTGGTTGCCCGTTCTGCTCTTTTAGGTCATAACTACAACTCTGTGGCTATGTCATGGCTTTGCAACATCCTGCTGGTTTGGTTTTATCTTCCTCTACCTGTGCCTAATGACACTTGGAGTAAACACAAGTCCTAGCACTCCTCTGTCCACTTAGACAAAGATGCTCCTCAGAGACAGAGGCAAAAAGCAACCAGCAAGCCAATCTTACTGATGCCATATAAAATATGGATTATTAGTTACTCAATAGTTCAAGGATAATCTGGCCACTGCAGTAATTTTGAAGGTATTCATCTTTCTAAAGAATGAAATGAGAACAAATGAGGCCCTGTTTGTCCTTCACAGCCTGCAAGCAAACCTTGTCCCTGTGCTCTAACATGAGGAAGGGAACACTGAGGCATACCTGAAACTCTTTCTTGTTCCAACTGCTTTGTGTAGCTGTTGAATATCTGTTCCTGAACTTTGCAAACAGATCTCTTGATTTTTTCTCTCCGCGTCACCATGTAAGTGAGGTTACGCACCTGGAAGACAGCAAGGGGATGGGTTTTACAGGAATTCTATTCCCAGGATATTGCCCTACCTGTGCTTTGAATTAATTCAGGTGGAGTACTACACACCTTTTAAACAAATGGTGTACAATTGAAATTTAAACCATTTAAATTTAACCACCTTCAACACAATTCTTAGAGAACAGTCTATTTAACTGACAAATTACCTGTTGAATTGACAGGCAATTTAATTGACAGTTTATTCCATCAGATTTGGAGAACCACACCACAGAAGTAACTTCTACAAATGTTGGAAAGGATGGATAAATATAATTGCCTGGCAAAAGATTCACAATAGTACAGCCAGGATGAAAACAATCTCCCCTACTGGCTGGACAATACCCTTACCTACAGATAGGTCCAAAAGTCAAATGGACTGTTCCATCTCTACCCCCAAAATGTATGGTTCATCCCACACCTGTAACCCTCCCCTGAAACATCAAGTGTCTGTGACCCCATTGGCCCAAGTCTTGTTCCAGCCCACCTTGAAGCCCCCTGATAAGGGGTCTCCGAGGAGCCAGACGCTCTCTTGGAATCCCTGCTCTCTTAGAACTTCCACCCTTTCCTAGAGCATCCTTTTTTAAGATGTACTATCAGTGGGAACAGACTAGTAAAATGTTAAAAATATTACTAAAATCACATATCCTGTTTTGACATCACATTTAGAAATGGAAGGGATGCACACAGAATCATTTAAGATCCAGGGAACATAGTTACAAACTCTAATTATTTAGCTGATCAAAGAGAGCATGACCAGAAAGCTTGAGCACATGGAGCAAGAACAAAAGATCCCAGGTAAAAGCTAGGATCTGGGCCATCTGAACAGCTACAGAATGGCCATGGGCTGGAGTTGAAACTAGGAGAAAAATCAAAAGAAACACTACAGCAATTAATTTTAAGAGTAATTAGACGTCAGGATCCTTTACAAAGGATGCAGTACATCCATGAGAACCTGCTATCCTGATTTAAAAATTAGACAGTATTTTGAAAGAAAGGCTCTGGTTCACCTATAGGTTACTGAAGTAGGACCTCCCGAGCCAGCTTTCATCCATGACCTACATGAGCCATGTGCTGTGGGGACACGGAAAACTAATTTCAGTGTTCTTTCTGGCTCTAAAAGCTCTTAAATTAATCCAAAAAGAAAAGAATTCAGGATCAGATGTACTTACTGAAACACCAAACTGATCCTACAGAACTGTTCTTCAAACATTCAAAACCTAAATAAATCAAACATCATTTACCTCCCAAACCTACACAGACAGTCCAGGGCAACATCATCCTATTCTGGTATGCCAATGAAAAACAGATCTGCTACAAAACAAGCTAAGTTTCATCATCCTTTTCACTGGGTGAAAGGAGCATGGAAAGTCCTTAAAGGCTGAAAAGGCTTCAGCTGGGGGCTGCAGTACAGAGTTAATCAGTAAAAAGGCACAAGCGAAAACAGGACAGTGCAGTTGCAGGTGATTGAATGCTACGCACCAAGACCTGCTGGCCCCGTGACTGACCTCTGTGTGCAAAGGGCAATTGCTGTGCTCTGGAGAAATTTAGTGTTAATGGCCTTGCCTGACAGCACAGCTGTGAGCTGAGCTGCAGCTTGGGGTGAGCACAGTTTGGGAACTGGGCTAACTGTGGCCAGCACAGGCAGTGCCGGGGCTTACCCGCTCCAGGTCCTGCCGGAGGTGTGTGAAGAGCTGCAGCCTCCTGAACAGAACATCCTGCTCCCGTTTAGCCAGATTGTCCTCCTCATCCTTCTTTGGGGTAATCAAAGGCTTATTGAAATTGGATTTCCTCTTCAGTTTCCAGTACTGGTAAAGGAATTCCACCGACTCCTCAGGCAGCCGCAGCACTTTGGCCACTTCCAAAGACTCGACAAACGTGTAGAACTCGTCCTCCAGCTGCTGGAGCTTCTGCTTGCGGAGGCTGACCCTGTGGGCCTCCTCCTGGTTTTGATCCATGGTGTGGAAGGGGTCCATGTGGGCAGGAAGGGAGCTGTCCTGAATCCCATTCCTGTTCTCCTGACCTGGGCTTTCACTCAAAGTCTCAGCGTCCGCTTTCTTGGTGGAGCTGTGCTTGGGACAGTAGGACTTGAACTTCACCTCGTCGTTCTCTGCCAAGATGGTCTTCATCTCCAAGCCGCGATCAAACGCGCAGGTGACGTGAAAGGCTGTTCTGCAGTTTTTCACTGAGCACTAGAGAAAATAAATTACAATTAACCAAATAAATACAAAAGTTAAGAATCCACACTGCCTAAAACTGTTGGAGAAGTCGGGGCTGCTTTGGAAGAAGAACCATGTCACCATGCTCTGCTTCTAAGCTGCACGTACTTCCTTGTTCTCTTTAATTAGGGTTATGACTTAGTGCTTCCAGGCCAGGCAAGGATCAAGTGGTCCAGAGGGACAGGAGTGTTTAACTCCCACCTCTAGCCCCACCAGGCTATTCCACGCAAAAAAAAACACAAGAGAAACATCCCCACTGACACCAGAGCCACTTGTATACAGCACCATTACTGAAGTAAAATGTTCCCCTTTGGAATGTGCCAGCACAAGGGGGAAAAAAAGGAACATTGTGGTGGCTCCAGGCCAGCCTGAGACTTTTAATTAAAAGTCTCTCCCAGCACCTGGACCCATGTTATCCTAACGGCCTCAACCAAAGGGAATTTTTTTCCCCTTTATCCCAATTTTATAATGTCAAATATTAAATCACTGTCAACCATTACTTCATTTCACAGCCTTCACTTCACCTTGGAGAGGAGGAGAACAGGAAATTCAAATGTTGTCATTTTTCTTCCTACTTGGTGAACCCAGCCATCATAGAGTGGTGGGCACCAGTTCAGCTGATTTAGCACTTCATTTCCATTATATCTAATTTCCTTTTGCAAAATGCTATCATACATACCACCAGCCACCAGCTGAAAGGTTTAAATACATATAAATATGTGTGTAGATATACAAATACACATACATATGTGTTTGGACCCACTCACACTTCTGGGGAACAGGATTTGAAGTGGAAATGAGCATTAGTGATCCTAACTAGGAAGCACCAAGCCACCGACCCTGAAAGAGCAACACTGTGCACTGGGATGTTTATACAGTGTTTTGTAAAGAAGCCAAATCTTTCTCCCCTCTGGGTTTTCTACTCAGGTTGACTCAGCAGCCAGATGGCTTATAAAGGTATGGCAGGGTTCAAACTGTACAGGTTTTAAATGAGCAGTCTTTAATAAAAGCAACATATAAGAGGAAATAAAAAATACCAAAACATCTTTTGCCCTTTCCTCTCCTACTAACAAACAGGCCAGGAGCATCCCAACTGGAACACTGAGCAGTACAGAGAAGTGCTTTAGCCATAATTAGCTCTTACTGCAGCTCATGTTTTGCTGGGAGAAGAGGGGAAAGCCTGTCTCGCTGGGAGGAAATCTGTTGAACCTGGGGGAATATGCAGTCTTGCTTTTCCCAGCTTATTGCAGCTGCTCCCTGACCAGCCTGACACACACTTCCAGCTGCCACTTTCCCTAATTGTTGGGCACATATCAGAACGTGGCCTGGAGAACAGACAAAAACAGTTTCAGCTACGTAACAGCAGCCAAGAGGAAGCGGATGGCTCTGCAAGGAGGGATTATGGTTGCAAATTTATATGCTGTGGACAGATTTATTTTCTCTAGTTAACACTTACTATTTCATACATTCCTCACATGGAAGTGGACTGTGATACGTTTCACTGGAACTACTGCTGTGTTGCTGATTTACAGCTCTTCCTGGCAGCCTCAATCAAATAACTTGAGGCAGAGGAGCAAATGGAAATGATAAAAACTCATTTCAAAGTAGTGTAAGACTTGAGCCATTCTTGTGTCTTAATGCTGGTCTGACCACCATGGATCCTGTAACACCAGGCTAGCCCCAGAAGAAAGAGCTCTACCTCAGCCCTCCTATCAGACTGAGTATCATCCCTCTCTGTCTCAGGGAGCTTCCTGAGGATTGTTTTGCTGCTGGAAGTGCTCTGAGGATGAGGAGCATCACCACAATTCTGAGCTACATCTTACTGTCTTTTTCTACACAAGCACAACACTGCCCCAGATGGGTCACCTGTCCTTACATTTATTCTCAAGTCCGTCATTTATTCTCAAGTAAAGGAGATCAACATCTCGCCTGCTGTCCCAGTGTCTTCTCTTTCAAAAATCTGAGGTTTGGTAATATGTTTTCTCAGCCTTTATAGATTTCTAATTTTTTCTTAAAAGGATTTTTTAACATTTCTGAATGGTTTTGCACTGTAAAGAATCTACAGGTGCTTCCAGCTAACAACCCCAAAATAAATAACCACGTGAAACAACACTGCCCAGTGTAAAATGCTCTGGGGTACAGATCAGTTCAGTTATGTCCACAGTAACAACAAGCAACACATTTGCCTATCTACTAAAAACTGACAAAAGAAAACACCTGCGGTTACTTGTGTAGTTAAATTACCTGAATAGAAGCTCCAACTTTTTCATTACAAAGGCTGCACACCAGTGCCCACCTACTGCTGGGAATGTGGGAAACTTTTGTGATGGGCTCCATTTTTTCAGGGCTTCCGATGCTCACCTAAGAGAAAAATGGGCAAAAACCTGGAGTGACTATGACACTGTTAACTGAAAAAATAAACAGTTTTATTAATGAAGTCAAATTCTTTGTGTGTTTATATAACTTAGTGTGTCCCAAATTCCTCAGTTTATCAGGATCTAAAATTCTTTTTTAAAAAAGGAATCAGTTTCTCACTTTGTGAACAAACCAACCAGTTTCAAGGTAAGGCCCACCAACTTAAGATTATTATACAGGATGAACACTTTGACTATGAGAACCCAGAGGAATTCTATCAGATTCAAACTTTCCTGATTCACCTTTCATGTTCTGTTTACAAAGTGAAATGGTATCTGGTGTCCTTGTTAAATGAGCTTGGCCAGCAGCAAAGGCCTCATTTTCCAAGGCCTAATTCTGATTGACAAAGGGTATTTAATTAATTTTCTCTACAGGTGAAGCATCATCCCCTGTCAGATTTTTTACCAAACCAAGTCACTATAATACCTGATTTTGAAATTAAACAATGCTTTAAGGATGTTTTTTTCTCTCCTAGAATCCCAGGACCAGCACCTGTGGAGTCTTTTTTGCCAGGGTCAGGACTAAATGTGTGAGACAGTATTTCTTGTTGGGACTCAGATGCTTATTAGTTTTTATCTATGTTACAGTCTCACAAACTGTGAGTTCTACACCACCTCACTCTAACAAACTAAAAATTGAGCCGTATCTCTCTCTCTCTCTCTAAAAGGCCTTTAAGGATAAACTGTCCAATTAAGAAATGACACCTAAATTATTTTCACTTTTAACCCAATAACTAATCACTCAAAGTCCACAATGTGGACTTTTCTGTCCAGTTGCACACTACCACCCAAACCCACGAATAAGAAGGTGAAGAAGGAAGGATCGCCCTCTGCCCTGAAACCTCCATCTTGCTTTATGTATATTACTATATTCTAAAACCTTAAACTCTGTGTTTTTCACCCTGTGATATCACACACTTCTATTCAAACTACACACCCATAACCCCAGTTCTATCATTCCATTTTGGAATACTTCTCCACGGCCTCAGGTCAAATGCAGTGTTCTCCTGGGGGTCAGTGCCTGCCAGCACAGAAAGTCTACAATTCTCAGCAGCCAGGGTTCCGAGCAGCAAGCAGCACCCACCTCCGGAATCCAGAGAGCGCAGCTGACGTGCACCCACTTGGTGCCGCTCCGGGTGGGCTTCATGGCGCCGCCCTTCTTGGGGCAGAGCAGGCACTTGGGCCGGACGCCCAGCGCGCAGGTCCGGCACAGCCAGCTGCCCTCGGGCACCTTCAGGATCCCATAGCACGCCTGCCTCCCCGCCAGCAGCGGGGGCAAAAAGAGCAAAGCAAACACCACCGTCTGTCTTTGGTTACACGCAGCCTCGCACAACTCTACGAGTTATTTTTAATCGGAAGGGAAAAATGCAGGATGGCAAATAATTAAGAGCGCACTTTTCAGAAGATTGTGTCTTTACAGAGCCCTCTATCCCAATTACTATCAGCTTTAATGTACTTAAGTTTAGGTTTGATGTGGGCAGAGAAACCCTACAGGTCTGAAAATACCAGCTTTGCTCTGTGTATCTTGTGGAATAGTCATTTGTACTTAAGAGCTGTCACAGGCCTAGTCTTTTATCATTAGTACAAAAGCAGTTAAGTAACACATGCCATAAATGTGTTTCCTGCTCACCAGACAAGTTTTTCCAAACATGAATGACAATAGAAACTTGTTAATGCTGGGAAGGAAGGACAGGCTGATGGGAAGGCATCTGCCAGTGTAAGTAGCATCCGTGGAAACAGATAGGCTAAAACTGCATCTCTTCTTTTATGCTAAGAAAACTTCTGAACTACCACAGAAAGGTGTCACACAGTAGTGCCTTCTTAGCACAGCTCTCTGGAATAAACCCCACCTGTGTCCCTTACTGACTGCCCTTTTGGCAAAGTTTGTTACCACCTGACACCCTGCTGCTGCCATACCTGGTGCACACAAATATTGCATTTGTCACAGAACACCATTTCATTGCCATCCTCTCCATCTGGAGACTGACAGACGTCACAGACAACATCCTCATCGTATTCAATGCCCAGCCCTTCCTCCGTCTCGATGGCGTGGTTCATGTTATCGTAGCAGCGCTGCTCAAACTCCTCCATCACCCTTTCCATGGTGTACTCATCCAGCTCCAGCATCCCTGCAAAACAGGAGTTGTTCACATAGTTGAAGGAAAGAGTGATAACCATCACCACAAACAGCTCCACCTTCTTTCTTAACAGCTGAGTAGACACAGCCAATTCCCACACAGACACATTTCATTCCTAGACAATCATGCCTGCTCCAGCATAAACCAGGGAAACAAAAAAACAAAAATGGCAAAGTTGTCTTATAAGTGTATTAAACTAACAAAAGTGGATTGTCCAAATCTTTCAACTTCTAAAAAAAAACTTTCCAAGACTGGTTCTGGCTTCCTGGTCTTGTTCTCATTTTTCCTTCTGGGACAGCACCATCTATGGCTTTTGCTCCAATTTTGCCACCCAGATGTTGACTCTGATGTAAGATTTGAAAGTATTTTGAACCAAAAGTGATGGAGCAGGGGGAGAAAATCAACAACAAAATCTGCTATGATACTTGGAAGGAATCTGCAGTTTCTAACAACAGTTGTTTGTTTATCCAGCCCAACAGTATGCAATCCCAACTGAGGTCTTCATCAGACCCTACAACAATAAATTAATTTGTTTTAAAAAGTGAAAACCTGTAATAAATGCAACATCAAATCTGAGACAATAACTAAATGCAGTATCTCATGTCAGATTTCCTTTTTTCTGACAGCATCCATCAGAAAATTATTCATGACACAGCTACAGACCCATTATGTTGTGGTATATTATAATTCAGATTTGTTTTGAAATTGTAAGGCCTCCCTTCTCAGGTGACTCCCCCAGTTTATATCCTGGGCATGACCTTCTATCATGTAGAATATCCCTTTGGTGAGTTTGGGTCACCTGTCCTGGCTATACTCCCTTCCAGTTTCTTTTGCTTACCTCCTCCCTGACAGAGCACGAAACAAAAAAGGAAAGGAAAAAAAAGACCCTGACTTAGGATAACCACAGACTCCAAAATATCAGCATGTTATCAACACCATTCTCATTACAAATCCAAACCACAGCACTTGTAACAGCTACTAATAAAAATCAAAGCACAGCTACTTGTAACAGCTACTGAGAAGAAATTAGCTCTATCCTAGCTGAAACCAGGACAGACAAGAGATGGCCACCTCAGGATGGGTGTTTTAACAAGAAAACTCTCAGCTCTCCCTGTGAAAAACTGAGCCAAAATTTCCACAAACAAAGAATAAAAAACCTCTCTAGCTCCTCCAGATCAGAAGACAAACACTCCACCAAAGTACTTCAGCTTCCCTTACTGACAGGTCAATCCTTGCAGCAGGGATCAACGCATCCCATGCTACCCAAACTGAGCAGCTGAAAAGTAGCCAAGAGGGGACATCTAAAATCCTGCTGATGAAAGGATTTTGCCCTGCAACCCAGAACTGCTGCACCAGCAAAGCACATGAGGGCAGGTTTTACACCAGCTTGCAGCTGAATTGTATCTGCTCTCACTTTGTAAGTGACCCTTAGATATGTGACTGACTGCCTGTGCATTTGCAAGGGTCACAGAAAGGGGAGCAGGGGCTGCAGCTCCTGTTCAGATGTTCACAGTCATTCTTTTACAGAACCACTGCATGTTCTCAGTACCTGAAGCACTCCTACAGGGATCAAACAAAAACCAGGGAACTCATGGCCTCAGGGACACTGTAAGGAAGTGCTCCAGGTGCAGATCAGGAAGTAGCTCACTTTTCAAATGCCCATTTGTAGTACCTGCAGTGTGCAGTGTCTGACCAAGCACCCAAGAACATATTTCAAGACCCCAAACACACTGCCTGGTACTGACAGGAGCTTTTCCTTCTCTCTGCATACAGCAAAAGTGAGCGGGTAACGATTTAGAGCAAACAAACTACAAGAAACTACACCAAAACACAAGATCCAACAAATTCTAGCTGTTCACTGTGCCATGTGCAGCATGTATTTCTAAAGGTTATGCTGATGTAGCAGAATGGGGCTTCCTGCAGAGGTACAAATCTGCCCCTCCTGTGCTGCTCACGCCCCACTATAGGATCCCTCTTCTGGTTTTGGCAAAAAACAGATAGACTGGATAAAAGGATACCAGACAAACAATAAAAAGTATTTTTCCCTTAAGAAAAGCCAAGGGAACTTGCTGCTGCTGTTCTCCTGAAGGTAACTTAAACTTTGAAATTGTAAACTGAAATCCTCTAAGCCTAACACTAAACCTGAGCAGGGCTGATGTGGGATCTGGAAAAAAGTCCTGGATAAGAGACCAGGCCAAGACATAATTTGTTTCTTTCATGTGTTGGTTTAAAAAGGAGAAACAGAGTTATAAATGGTCATTTTGTGCTTTACCAGTTCTTCAGTCATGCCATCTATGGGCTACAGCCAGGTAAAACATGTTTGACTAAACTGCAACCCAAAGCAGGGAACTGCCACAGTGCCAAAACAAAAACCAAAGGTGTTCACCAACATGTCCAAACCCCTTCCATCTGGCACAGCATTTTCCCTTGGCTAAACAATGTGGCAGAAGTTCTGTGCTGACTTACATCCTATTCAGTTCCACTGAGACCCTCTCCTGAAGCACTCAGCTAACCAAGAAAATGTTCCAGTTTGCCCCTCTCCCCGTGTCCTTCCCCTCACACAACCCATTCTTCAGAAAAGCTCCCCTTGTGACAGCTCTTCCTCCTGATTTGCAACTACAGGACACAGTCACAGTGAGGCTTGGGAGCTCCCTCCAATAAATCAGTGCAGGAATTCCTTCCTGTCCCATTCCCTGTGCCACTCAGCTGGCACAGATTCTCTAAGCCTGACAAACAACCTGTCTTGTCTTCTCTGCACCGAACACTACAAGCTAAAATGACAAGACAGATTTGTGCTGAAGAAAAAAATAAATAAATAGCACTACATGGAAAAACTACCTTTGTCTCTCTGACATTCCCTTTGAGAACCAAGATGGCAAACTGGGAACTTTGTGAGATGGAAAGCAGCAGAGAAAACAACAAAACATGTGGCCAGATTCTAAGGTATGTAACCACGTCTAAGCAGATACAACACAGGAGTTATGAAGGCATCTATCTTAGGGCTTAATCACATCAGGTCTGCTCATATAATTATTATCTCCTCATACCTCTACTACTTCTTCCCACTGCTGCTCTCCCTGAAATTATTCTTAAGATTGCCAGCTTTAAAAAGAAAAAAAAAAGAAAAAAAAAAAAAAAAAAAAAAGACAACAAATTCCCTCATTGCTCACCCATTTCTTTGAATTCTTCATTGGCAAGTTGCAGCCATGCCACGTCCACATCGTTGAGGTCGTAGCGGCACACGCTGTCTGCCAGGGTTCGGATGTCCACGTAGCCCAGCTCCGGCGGCTCCGCGCCCGAGGACACGATGAACTTCCTGGGCCGCGTGAAGGTGACGGCTTTTGTCTCAGACACCACCCTGAAACAGACAGGCAGGTAGGTGTGAGGAGTGCTGAGAGGCTCAGCTCTAGAGAATTCAAAATGCTTTGCTCTAAGAGACTAACAACCACCAGCAGCAGCCACCTAATCATCCCAGTAACCACCTGGCACCACTGAGGTGGGAAAACAGTTCCCTGCACTTCCAGAACTGATTGGTGGTATTGTAAGAACTTGACTAGAGTTAAGAACTTAACTGGAGTTGTCTAGAAATCCAATTCATTTCCAGAACTCTAAATAAAATTAAATATTAGAGGACAGAGCTGTGCTTTCTGTGCTTTCTCTTACCTGAAATTCACACTTGCTAAAGCCAAAGCAGGGACGCTCTATTACATAGTGGCTGCCATCTATACACATGTTAAACTATGTTTTAAGACTTTTTTTATATCAATCTGTTTAACTAAAATACTGACCATAAGAACATTCAAGGAAAAAAGAAGTATTTCTGGCTGTCTCAGTAGAGGACATTGCCCTTTCTCTTAATCAACAGCACATACTGAAATTGAGCTTGGATGAAACCTGCTTCACAACACAACCCCGGTCCCTCCAGGAGCAACAGGCCACACTGTCAAATGCCTGCCTCCTGCACTACCACTGGAGGTGATTTTTTGGGGTGCCAGTGCCACAAGGGAGGAGATTGCACCACCCTGTGTTGCCACAACTCTCTGCTGGGAACAGCCTAAGCCCCACAAGGAGCAGGACAGCCTCCACACCCCACTCTATTCTGCCCCCCGAGGTCCAGCGTGTTAACTCCTAGCAGAAACCCTGATCTGCTGCTGCTGTATTTGCACAAACAGATCTCTGTAAATTCTCTGTCTATCTCAGCCTTGCACATCCCTCAAGCTTCCCTTCTTCTACTTATTTCAGACAACGAGAAATGGTGAGCAAGAGCCAAATGCTGACTTTGGAGCTTCTGAGGTGCTGTGAAAAATACAAATGTGAATGACCTTGCCAGCCTAACTGCACTGCCCAGACTGTTTCTCGTCATATTGCAAAGACTACTGCATCTTCACAGAGAATGTACTTTAAACTGGGCACTTCTCTCCAAATAAATTCCTTCCAGAGTACCTCTCTGTGGAAATCATAACCTCTGGGCAGCACCCTGCCACACTAGTGGCACAGAAGAAACAAGCACAGTGACTCTGACCTCAAAACAACTCCCTTTCCTGTCTTTATTTCTGGGCTAGAAAGAAATTTTAAAAAGGCAGCCCTTAGTACACACTGAAAGCTCAATTGTCATTCTGACCACATGTCTACAGTGAATCTCCACACAGCCTCACTCCTGCCTCCTGCTCCTCTGTCCTCACCAGTCACTACCTTTTATTCACTGTTATGTTCCTTACTAGCACCAGCTCCTTGTACAGCCTTGGCTCCTATCCTACCCCAGCTATGATCTGTCTATTGCTTATTCCATGCACAGAACTACCCCCCTTCCCTCACAAATTCAGGATCAGAGCAGTTCCTGCACTCCAGCACCAAGGCAGGGCTCTCTGAGTGTTTTGTGAGGGAGTGAAGAGGACAGTAATCAGGCATCAATGGGCTCCTCTGGCCAGCAGGTCCTCAGCAGGACTACACAAGATAGCTCAGCAGAAAACAAGGAGTGGTGCCTGCTGTGCCAATACCTCCAGCTGTGATGCCTTCTTTCCCTGTCTCTTACCATCTTAAATTTGGAGCAACATCTCTATTGGCCTTTGGTAGAGAACAGCTCTCTCCTAAGTCAGTACCTGGACCTGCTATAGCCACCAAAGCACCTCCCTGACAGACACAGGGCAGGGATCCCCTGGGAGTTTTTCCTCTGCGCAAGCCCCAGGTGTGTGGCCCTCCCACAGCCTCGGGAGATGCTGAAGAGATGAATCAGTGAGGAGAAGGCAATGTGAGTGCACATGTACCGGGTGTGTGTGTGCTTCTGCAGGGACTGGGAGAGGTCAGTGTGGAACAGGGAAAGGGTATGTCCCCATCTCCTACACTGCAGAGCAGAGAGCAAAATGCCAGGTTGTCCTTGGAGCTCCAGGTCCAATCGTTTAGAAGAAGAATGGACAGGATTTCCCTGATGTGCAGGTTAGCCCCTCCTAGTGGGGCACTCCGCAGGTGGCTGCACAGAACAAAAACAACACTAACAAACCTTCCTGAGGCTTAGTCCAAGGCTAAAGGTGACAGATACAGACCTTACAAGAAGCAGTCAGTGTTCTATCATCACAAAATTTTTGCTGTGTACCAAGGATTGAGCTGCTGTGGTCTCACCAGCACTGGTGGGTCCTTTGGTAATGCCTTATGGGCCAGCCTGGACTGACTCAAAGAGATCTAGAATGATTAAATGGCAAAAATCCTTGCTCTTATTTTCCCCAACCCCTAATAAGCATAAAATGGGCTGCAGCACACTGCTGCCCTTAGAACTGCAGTGTTTAATTGGAAACAGGAAATAGTTTAACAAACATGGCAAGGAAAATAAGGGATTTTTGGATAAGAGCTAGAAAATCTCACATTATTTAGTTACATGAACATCTGGAGGGCTCTTAAAACAGTTGAAATGTTGTACAATCAATTTCTTAGGTTAATAAAAGAAATCGCAAAAAAAACCCTATGAAAACAAAATAACTGCTGTGTTTTCTCTAGCCCTTAAGCCTGGTTTGTCCAACTGCTCCTTGAAAAGAACCTATGGCTTGGAAATAAGCAGAGGGAACACCAGAGAAGGGCTCTTCCAGCAATGATAAGTAAGCTCAAGTCTGCCTTAAAAATAGAAGCTATTTTAAAGGTTCTGTTATCACACTCCCTTGCCAAAAACAGTTCTCTGACATTTGTGTTTGACATGGGTAGAACAGGCCTGACTCTTGACCTCTCTGACTGTTCCAAAAGGTGATTCCAGGTTGCTCTTCATCTCTGAGAACCAAGGCCTTCCTAGCTGGGCACTGTGCAATAAAGCTCAGGAAGCCAAGGCAATGTAGGCATAAGCTGCTAGCACAAACATGTGTGTATTTGTTCCCATTCCTCCAAATTATACCTGGCTACTGGTTCTGGGATGGTCCCTGGGCTAACTGGCACCTGAACTCCCTTTTCCCACTCCTGCCTCCAGGGATCTGCCAGCACATAGTATTCATCAGGGTTCAGCTGGAAGGAGTCATGTAACTTCATGGCAGTGATCAGGTCCGTTCTGAACACCTGCAAAGAGAGTGACCAAGAGAGAAAAATAGAGACACTGACATTTGATATCGACACTCTACCATTCACAGCTTCAGGGTAACCATGGAGCACAGCGGGGAACAAGGTCACTGTACCACCAGTGCACTAGCCCAGCCCACTGCAGAACAGGGATTAGCTTCATGGCAAGGAAAGGGGAGGCTGAAGGCACAAATAGTGACAGGATGACTTCCACCTAACTGCACTACAGGTCCTGGAGCTCTCCTGCACTGGAGACTTGCTCTAAAAGCTGTTACCCACTTTCACCTCCATATTGGCTGCAATAAAAGCTGCAACAGCTCCGAGTTGTAAAATAGCAACACAAGGAAGATTCGTTTTTGCTGCCCAGGATTTTTGGATTTTTTTAATTATTGGAGCTCTGACTCATACCAAGACATTCTAGAAATTCTCTGTGGTAGAAATCAAGGCGTGACTCCACCATGACCAGCAGCAAGAGGAAATTCTAAGAAGATGACTCCATGCAAGTACTTAGAAAAATAACCCAAAAGATAAAAAAATAAGACCCAAATTGGAATTCTGGTGGCAGCTCCCCATTCAGTACAGGTATTTATTCAATCAGCTACAGACACCTCTGTGTCACAGTTGTAATTTTCCTTTGCCTTTGCAAAGGCATCCAGCTCTAAAGCCAGCAGGATGTTTGGCAACCTGTGGGCTAGCAGCCATGAACAAGTAGCCATGCTGTCTTCAACAAACCACTGAATGAAATAAAAAGATCCCTTCACTCCTGTGGCAGGCCTGCTGTGGCAGCTTCAGCCTGCTGGCATTACAGAAAGCTGAGTGCTGCTATCACAGGCATCCCAACTACAAGCCTGCACTTGCTGACACGAGTTCCAGCCCTTCCCACCCCCTCCTCTCTCCAAAAGACAGGGCTCTCCTCACCTCCACAACACTAATTTCTAACTACTCCATGCCTCATTCAAAGGAAAGGGTTAAAAAGTAACCAGGTGACAGAAGATTAGCACCACCAGGACAAGAAGAAAACAGGTAAAACTCCCTGCAGGCTTCTCAGTCAGTGGTGGTCAGAACCAACATTCACAGAGCCCCACACTGCAGCTACATCAGATAAAACCCTGGATTTTCAGGGCAGTGCTCCTAGACTCCCTTATGAGGCTGCTAAGGGGGCCAAGTGACCCATCCTCCCAGCCCCAAACCAATGGCCATGCTGTCACCTCAGCCCCAGCCTGCTGCTGTGTGTGGCTGAGGCAGAACCTGATGTGCACAGAGCTACCCAGGCAGCCACTTCCATCATCCACTACTCGCACACCTGAAAACCCTGGATTTTTGGAATTATTTTAGTGTATTTGATGGCCAATTGCTCTTCTGATAATATTTTCAAGTGTGATTTTCCTTGCCATACTGCACATCTCAAAACCCCTCCTCCCTCCCAACACACATGTACTGTCCCACTTCTGTCTACGTATGTTTCTGTTTCTGCTCTGGTTTTGTCATTAAAATAGCATAAAATCATTACATTTTTCTTAACACTTGTCTTCATGTGTTCAGAAAAAACTGCCAGCATTAAAAAGCAAAGACAATGAATGATTGCCTTATAAAGAACGGGTTGAATGCTTGTAATGAAATATATTGAAATGTTTAAAACAATTAAATAACAAGTCTTGTGAGGCTTCAGTCAAGAAATGAAAAGTAAGCCACAAAATAAATGGGCTCACAAAACAAACAAGCACAGCTGGCATGGGGATTCTGCACTTTTAAGTGATTTGACTTAAAGCAATCAAAAGTCAAATTAAAAGAACACTAAAAATATAAAGTGGGACACAAACCTCGCTCAGTTTCAGAGCCAAAATAACTCAGGCTCTTGGATAAATTTGTCACAAAACTCCCTCAGAAGCAAAGCTAATGCAGCACCTGACAGCCAAGAAACTCCTTCCCAGGCCAGTGGCCCCATGACACCGTTCTTTCTGCTCTAGCTGCTGATGCAATCAGAGTGCCTGGAGGAAAGCAGAGCTTACAGAAGTGCTGGCTCTCAGAAGCACTGAACACTTCAAAGCTAAAGGGTGAAAGCCTGGCCACGCTGAAGTCAGTGGGAATTTTGCCACCAAGTTCACTGAGGCCAGGATTTCACCCGGGGAGTTTGCGAGTGTCGCTTTCCTGCCAGCGCGCTTCTGCTGCGGCGAGCAGGGACAACGCAGCGGGGGAAAGGCTGTGGAGCAGAGCTAAAGGGAAGCACAAGAGAAGCTCATCCAGACTGAGAAAACATGAGAGAACAGCACAAAACTGCAAAGATTCTGACAGCAAAAGCAAGGTAAGGGAGAGAAGAAAACAGAAGCACACAAAAAATCAACAGCAAGACTCCTCATTATCTCAGATGATTTCTTGATAGCCGTTCACGAGGTGGTTCTCAAAAGCAGGTGTAAGGGGCTACTTCTAAGCGATGCACAAAAGGTAACTAAGGAAAACAAGCTTATTGCTTGTATTCACCAGGGATCTTCACACTGGCAAAAAAAAAAGGTCTTTAATAGCCAACAGTCATGGGAGTTTGGAAACCAGCAGTACTAGGCATAGTTCACACTGAACAATGAATGGCATCTCCTTGTGAAAACTCTTCTCTGAGACTTAGGTACACTGTCATTAGGGAGATTAATAAAGCACTTTTTCCTCAATACTACTTACTAATGTGTAAGTACAATAAATGAGAAATTCCGTCTCCCAGAGCTAATCCTTTCTTTGCAGCTTCTACAAAGTCTGCAGCATAGTATTTTGCCTGAAGACAGGAAGATTCAGCAGGAACATTTCCAAAGAAATGGATCACATTTTGTGTGTTACTAACAGCTGATCCAACCTAGAAAGTTCAAAGATTTTTATCTCCCCTGACAGCATTTCTTCAAAGCACTAGAAGAGACAGGAGCTGTCAGGAAGCAGATTTCTAGCTTGACAAGCACTTTAGCAAAGATCACACACACCGAGCCCCAGTACAAACTATGAAATAAATGCACCTAATGTAAATTTCCACTGTTCACAAATCAAGTTGCAAATAAACCCCAATGCCTAAAATAGCTCAAGAAAGACTCTGAAGCTATGCTGAATGGGTGTCAGACTACAACAAAATTCACAGATAGAAACTGGTGCTGGCAGTAGCTGTGCCAACAGCTGAACTCTCTAATCTTCAGGGGAGGGGGGAGAGGGGAAAAGGGGTGAGGGAGGGGAGGTATGTGCCAGCCAATATGTAAGGGAAAAAAAATAATTAAAAAAAAACGTAAATCAGAAAAAATTGATCCATTACCAGAAGACATGTATGTATATATTGTGTGTACAGGTACTGTGAGAGATGTAGCAAAATGCAAATCAAATTCCAGAAATACCTCAGAAGGTTTCCGGTCCTCATCTCTGGAACAAGAAGTCCTACGACGTTGAGATCTGGAATGCTGGGACCAGGTAAACAGACCTAGGACACAGAAATGATAATTTGCAGGCTTCTGTGACAAACCCCCAGGAAACTCTTTCAAAATTAACCAGAAAATAAAAGACACTCAATCCTAAACACTTTCCTGGGTCTGTTTTGTTTCTCATTTCCCAACTGAGGTGTGCCTGTACTGGCTGCACTGCACTTACCTGCCTTCCACCCAGCATTCCAAAAAAGCCACTTCATAACATCCTTCTCCCCCTGAGCATCAATAAATGACTTCCTGCAGATTAATAACTGACCAGGAGCTCTGCCAATAGCTTGGGATGTACTCTCTGAAGCTAATGTCCTAGATACCTACACTGGTTACCTGATTTCTGCTGGCACAAGCCTCTGCAAAATGAACCACACAGCCACACACACACAGCAGAGCCCACAGAACAAGCTGTTGTTTCTTCTCCCAAGCAAATCTCCCCGTGTGGCTGTATGAATTTGTCTGTGTAATTATTCACTACATTCCAAACAAATTATACCTTTTTGCCTTGAAACTGTTTGACAGAGTCTCTGTCAGCTTTCAGAAATATTGTAATGGGAGGAAAGGAAAAAGAGAAAGAATCTGCACTCCTTTGACAAGATAGTGCTTTGACACCAGAATATATTACACCTGTGCAAATCAACTCATTTCAACACAGTTAAGATTTACAGGTACAGCAGGTATTTTCCACTGTCAACTACATAGGAGCAATGAAAAAAAAAAGCCAATAAATCTTTCTTGGTTGCAGAGATGAAGGACTTGTACTAGGTCTATCTGACAGGGAAGCTAAGACCTATGTCATTAACTCAGTATTTGCAGATCTGGATGTTAATTGAAGCAAACTGATGCAAAGGCCTTCCCACACTGCTCATTCCTTCACTGTCTGTGCACAAACATGGTAGGAGTAAAAAGGGTAAGGCTACAGTCTGTAAAAGCAGCACCGCCTCACACCAGCCCACAGAAAACTCTCAAGGATTCTCTCAAGAAAGACCTGTTCAAAAGCACAGGATGGGATAAGCTCTCTCTTAAAAAAAAAAATTAAAAAATTTAGAAGTGAAGTATCTATCCAAGGCTTTCACTGGAAAAATTTGACTGAATTCATTAGATTTCAGTTATCTGTCTTCTCTTTTCAGTTAGTGATCCATTAGGAAATCTGCCCCAGTACAACCTCTCTGGAACACAGCAGTGAATAACAGACATTACACAGAATATGCATAATGCTCAAAACTGAAGCAATGTTCCCAGCAAATAGCTAAAAACCTTATCTCCTGAGGTAAGAATACAGAGAGGATCATTTTAAGTAAATGTTAGTGTTTTAATATAAAACATGGTGAAGTTATCAGCACTCTTTCTTCTTTTCTTCCCTTCATAGAAAGAAGGAAGAAAAATAGTGACTGACTGCCATTTATTACTCTGTTAGAAAGCCAGACTCCCAAGATCATTTAAATACCATTCCATTTAATTGTTCCATTGAAAACTGAAGAAGAAAAACAAGCAGGAGTACCAGAGAACAGAAACACAACAGGAGCACAGTACACAACGCAAGCAGTTGCAAGGATCCTATCAGACCATCCCCAAACTCTGCTTAAGGTCAGAAGGGAGTAAATAAAATCCCTCACAAAAACTGTGAGAGACACAGCTAAAATGCATGACAAAAAAAAAAAAAAAAATCCAGATTTATTTCCTGTAATGCAGCAGTGTAAATATTAACATTTTAACACTCAGACAGATGTGATTTCTTTAATCAACAGCCTCCCTAGAAGACACAGACCACATACCCACCTACACAGATTACTATTCAGTTCTCATGGGTTCTGATATTTTCCATTGGCAAGACATTAATATCTGACCAACTAGCTGCCACTGAGGTGTTCAGAAGCAAGTTAAACCACTGCACCAGCAAGTCAGACCTAGAAATTTCCAATTCTTTTGTGGATCTGAGTGTTTTTTGTTCACTGTTGGACCTGGGAGAGAGAGCCTGCTCACAAGAGAAAGAATTAAGAACAACAAGCTGTATTGGCAAGGTGTTTTTGATTCAAGCTTCTGCGAGAGATGAGCTCATGAGTCTGGAGGATTTAACACAGTTGTTCCCAAGTAAGGCAAGCACGTGGCAAAATTAGTGTAGTGGCAGTGTGATGTACTTCTGGGTCTTTACCAGTGTCCTTTAACCCAGCTCTGATGACAACTTATCATACACTGAATTAAAAAAGAGTACGGGCAACTTTTTCCAGGTCCCTCTCAGGCCACAAAGAAGCTCCAAAGGTGAGGAGTAAGACAATCCCTGCCACATCACCCATCTCCATTTCCTCACTATGTCATCTTACACATCAGAACAAATGTCTTAAATGCACACTTCTATGTCCATGTACACAAGGGTTTGGTCACTGGATTAATTAACTGTTCCATGTTTCACAGAAGGGTAACTCTTATCATCAAAACTACAAGAGCTTCACTTTAAATTATTTTTTCAAGTGCTAGATGAAAGCACACTATGTAAAATTTCCATGCCTAAGAGAAAAGTCAAACACAGCCAGCCTTCCTCAGGATCTCTTGTAATAAGGGTTTTTTTCCAAGCCAACCACCTTGCTACACTGAATAAGGAAAGAAAGTTTTTATCAGTTTTGTAACAGGCTCTTCCTTGCACACAAGGCTGGGGAACTCACAGTGGAAACACTGTTACTGAAGGGGCTGTTGGGCTTTTTCTGAGCAATGTAAACTACATAATACTAGGAGAAAGCAGTGGAAGAATTCCTCACGGGACTGAGGTTTTACTACAAACTGCAGCTAGCAGATGACCTTTGGCAAGGGCTTCACATCAATAGGGAAAACATTTACTCACTGAATAAACAAAGCCAGCCTTGAATTCAGATTCAAACCAAGCACCGCTGCTTAGACAAGAAAGTAAGAAATTGAAAGAGCCAGCCAAATGACAGCAAAATATCCAGCCCATAACAGTATTGACTCTAGCTACTTTTGAAATCCCAAACAAGAGTTGCAATTCTGCTTCCATCAAAGCTAATGGCAAAACATCAGCGTCTTCACCAGTGCCAGCCCAAGCCACTGAATTTCCCAAAGCCCTCATTAATAAACCATCCACCCACTCTGCCTACACCAATAAAACTGCAGGAGGAAAATTAAGGATGTTATTTGTCTATTAAACATCCTTTCCATATTTGCACACTTAATCCAGAAAAGGGACCTCACTGAAAGCAGAAATTCACAGTCCATTACACCTGCTTCAGTGCTTAATGATCTGATTTGTACATTTGAGTGCATGAAGAACCATCCCTGGATTATACAAAAGGCAGAATCTACTTTGGTCAAAACAAAACATAGGATTCAAAATAGCTCTTCTGTACTATAATAAGCACATGAACCTAGTTCAGTTGTTTCAGGAAGATTCCAGACACTTCACCAGAATCATTCTCTTTCATTAAGTATCCAAAATCATTGTATTCCTCAAGTTTTATGAGTACTATCCCCAGTCCCAAACTGGATTAGGATCATCAAGACTAGAAAAACAACTAAAGAGCAAGACAAGAGTTAAACTCTGTTATGGTAAAATACTTTTTTTTTTTAAACATTGTAAGGCAAGTCTGAATCACTGGGATTTGGATGATATAAAAGTTCTGTAAGATACCATTATATACCTCATGGGAAGAATGAGTTTCACAGCAGATGGAAAAACAGTGAGATGTTAAGAGAGCCCATGCTACCATAAGCCACGCAAGAAACAGTAAATATGAAAAATACACAATTCCAAGGCATGAAGCCAAATATAGCATCCAAAACATGCATTTCCATCGTTGTTAAGACATCAGAGATAAAAGGTATCTTATTAAGTGTTACATGATCACGGCAAGTCTAGGATGAATGCAGTAACCTACTGAGCATCATCACTCTGGGAGAGAGACTGAGACATTTGGATTCTTCTACAATTCAGATTCTTTCAGATGACCAAGGTGTTTGTGTGTTTTAAAAGGATTTCATCACTGAGAAGAACGGGGAGGAAGGGATCATACTCCTGTTACCTGCTCTTAGCTTTCCTTTTGCATTTATCTACTTAAAGACAAAAAGCAAAAAGGAATCCCAAACCACTAAAAAGGTGTAATCCTCAGCAAGGGAGGCAGAGTTCTAACACACCATTGGTGCTGCAAAGACTTCTCAGACTCAAACAGGAATTTTTTCTTTTCCCCAAGGCTGCTATGAACACTCACACTGTAAATACAGTGTTCTTATAATACCGCCACAGGGTGTATGTAGCACACACGCCTCCTGATAATAAAAGAAAGCAATCAAGGAGTGTGCATTCTTTTTCCCCACTTGTGAAGAACACATGCTTCCCAAAAGGAAAAACTTAATCAATTTTAACGGCATCATTTTATTAAATGATCTGTCAAGAATATGTTTTCATCCCCTCAAAAAAATCCAATCAAAACAGAAAATTGCTTGGAACCAATAAAACAATTCAAACCCTCAGGGAATTCTACCCCACAGCTAATGCACTGCTCAGCATGAGCAGAGAAGTCTCAGCTATTAGGTATCATGCACAAGGCTGTTGTAAAGCCACCTGTAAGGCACCCAGCTGTGTCCCTGGAGAACTACGTGCTGCTCCAGCCTCTGAGCACTTCAAAGGCTCGGATCCCTGCGTGCACTTCTCTCAGTGTAAATACACTGCCTCTACCCCACTACAGCAGGAGCACAACAGAGCAAAGCAGCCCTGACACAGATCCATGGCTGCCTGTCACTTCTGCTTAGCACCAGCCTCCCCAGCACCCTGCAGCTCACTCTGAGCCCAGCCAGGCGTCCCTGCCAACGCTGTCACCGAGATCTATGGCCCGAGGAGACAACAGAGGTGCTCCATCTCTCCATTCAGTGCCTGGCCCACAACTCCTTACTGCAGGATCTCTGTGCCACTTAGAAACAGCTCCACACTCGGACTCCAATTCCAGCACAAAACAAACAGAAGCACGCTATTCTGCGGGCAGTTTCCACTATGTCAGGTACA